CGTCGGTTGTTTTCATTTTATTTATTCATCTTTCTACAGCAAAGGTCTACAGGGGCTTTCAGACGGGACACGGTGAGCGCTGCACGTGTTTGCCGCTTTCCATTGACGCCGTGCGGCAGTCAAAGTTCAGCTTTTTTGAACTTTCAGGGGTTGACCTTAAGGATTTTTACCACTTGCCCTTTGGGAAACTGACTTTCACATTTCCTTTGCCCAGTATAATGTTTGATAAATACAGTTCATAATATTCATTTTTGTATATATATCAATGAAACGTAGGGCTGGGCGATAATCCAATAACGATATATATCGATCGATAGACGTGTGGCGCAATAGAAAAAAAGAGGGTCGATAAAAGTTCGATAAAAAAGAAACGCAGTTTTCCTTCCTTCTCATTGTAGCCTAGCATGTAGGTTTATGCTAGTCACTGCTTCCTCCCAACCAATCACAATCGCGGACCCAGGCATGCCGTCACCAAGCGCCGCCCTCTCAAACCACAACACAACAACACATTTTTTATCATCTCAGCCGCTCACACCCGCAGGAGTATGAGCTGTGTAGGCCCCGGCGCGGCTCTGCATCGCCTCCGAAGAATTTTCGGGAATTTCGGGAAAATATATATATTCAGTTCCGGGCAGTTTCCCACGTAGTTCTAACAATTGAGAGAAAAATGCTGAGGGGCCAGAAACTTCAAAGTAATAACTCAGGTTAAAGCAGGAAACTAAGCTGAACCAGGTTGGGGATTTGGGTTCCATTTATTTGTTATATTTATTTTGGTCACTTTTCTGGTCCCTTTAGTTTATTCTTTGTCAGTATTTAATAACATAACTCAGGTCTTAAAGTTATTGTTCTTTAAAACAATTCTGTTATGGTTAAAAAAGCTGGTTAAATAAAGATTTAATTGGAAGTCTGTGTTTGTGTTCTTTATTAAAATTAAATCATTTAGCAATATGATAAAATGTCCATAAAATATGGTTTCAAATCTTTTCAATAATTATCGATATCGATCAATATGCATTTTTTTTTTATCGATAAGCTTTTTTTCTATATCGCCCAGCCCTAATGAAACATGTTTGTTTTTTAAAAGTTTTTTTTGTAATTCAGTAAGTTTCCAGGTTCCTAGTGTGTATACAGGTGCTGGTCATAAAATTAGAATATCATGAAAAAGTAGATTGATTTCAGTAATTCCATTTAAAAAGTGAAACTTGTATATTATATTCATACATTACATACAAACTCATATATTTCAGATGTTTATTTTGTTTAATTTTGATGATTACAAATGACAACAAATGAAAATCTCAAATTCATCATATCAGAAAATTAGAATATTACTGAAGACCAATAAAAACAAAGGATTTATAGAAATGTTGGCCAACTGAAAAGTATGAACATGAAAAGTATGAGCATGTACAGCACTCAATATTTAGTTGGGCCTCCTTTGGCCTGTATTACTGCAGCAATGCGGCGTGGCATGGAGTCGATCAGTCTGTGGCACTGCTCAGGTGTTATGATAGCCCAGGTTGCTCTAATAGTGGCTTTTAGCTCTTCTGAATTGTTGGGTCTGGTGTATTGCATCTTCTTCTTCACAATACCCCATAGATTTTCTATGGGGTTAAGGTCAGGAGAGTTTGCTGGCCAATTAAGAACAGGGATACCATGGTCCTTCAACCAGGTACTGGTAGCTTTGGCACTGTGTGCAGGTGCCAAGTCCTGTTGGAAAATGAAATCTGCATCTCCAAAAAGTTGGTCAGCTGCAGGAAGCATGAAGTGCTCTAAAACTTCCTGGTATGTGGCTGCGTTGACCCTGGACCTCAGAAAACACAATGGACCAACACCAGCAGATGACATGGCACCCCAAACCATCACTGACTGTGGAAACTTTACACTGGACTTCAAGCAACGTGGATGAAGTGCCTCTCTTCTTTTCCTCCAGACTCTGGGACCTTGATTTCCAAAGGAAATGCAAAATTTACTTTCATCAGAGAACATGACTTTGGACCACTCACCAGCAGTCCAGTCCTGTTTCTCTTTAGCCCAGGCAAGACGCTTCTGACGCTGTCTGTGGTTCAAGAGTGGCTTGACACAAGGAATGCGACAGCAGAAACCCATGTCTTTCATACGTCTGTGTGTGGTGGTTCTTGAAGCACTCACTCCAGCTGCAGTCCACTCTTTGTGAATCTCCCCCACATTTTTGAATGGGTTTTGTTTCACAATCCTCTCCAGGGTGCGGTTATCTCTCTTGCTTGTACACTTTTTTCGACCACATCTTTTCCTTCCCTTCGCCTCTCTATTAATGTGCTTGGACACTGAGCTCTGTGAACAGCCAGCCTCTTTAGCGATGACCTTTTGTGTCTTGCCCTCCTTGTGCAAGGTGTCGATGGTCTTCTTTTGGACAACTGTCAAGTCAGCAGTCTTCCCCATGATTGTGTAGCCTATAGAACTAGACTGAAAGACCATTTAAAGGCTTTTGCAGGTGGTTTGAGTTAATTAGCTGATTAGAGTGTGGCACCAGGGGCCATCAATTTTGAACCTTTTCACAATATTCTAATTTTCTGATATGATGAATTTGAGATTTTCATTTGTTGTCATTTGTAATCATCAAAATTAAACAAAATAAACATCTGAAATATATGAGTTTGTATGTAATGTATGAATATAATATACAAGTTTCACTTTTTAAATGGAATTACTGAAATCAATCTACTTTTTCATGATATTCTAATTTTATGACCAGCACCTGTATGCATGCGTCAGATAATGAGCTCAAGCCTACATTACCGTGTTAACATGCTTTTCAATCCTTCCTGCACATTCTTTTTAAACTAAACTTTGCTTTAAACTGTTGTGTGCTTGGAAAAATATAGATTATAATGTTAAAAATCTAAAAGAAAGTTGACATGTTTATGTAATGTACATTTTTAAATTTAAATTCATCATCCAGCTGCTGCTCTGCAGAATTCTCTCCCCAAGAGCTAAATCACGCCATCTAGTGGAAAAACAAAAATGGCGCCGGCAACGCTTTCAGCGAATGTCTGTGATTTTAAAGTAATTTTGAGCGATAAATAATTGATTTATTTATTTTTTTGCGATTTGTACTCTCCCAACAATAAAAACTACTTGCCCCGGGCGATCGTTAACATTGAGGCCTGCAGTGTGATGAACCTCATTGTTTCCTGCATCTGTAAGCCCTGATCAGACTATCGTTTGTCGTATCCACTTCCCAAAAGCCGACCATATCAAATAAATTCACCAAAGTCTGTCTGTCTTTGCCTGATTTTCTGCAAATTTCCTGAATGTTACGGGTGCCGCCATGTTGGTTTGCTTGTTTACCTCTAGAGAGCAGTAGTACCGTATATCATCACTAGGAGGCGAGGAACCGTGCTAGCGTGGCGTGTAATTTATAAGGAACCGACCTCGGCACGGATCGGTTTTCAGAGGGTAGTGTAAACTAAAATATTGGAAAGCACCAGAAATATGTTTTTAGAGCTGTTTTTCCTTTAATTAGCTCGGAAACTAAATTTTTTAATATCACTTTTTTTTTTTCATAAAATAATACCCTGCAGAAAAAAAAATCCCTGCTTCAGTTATATATTTTATGTTTTTTTTTCTTCCTTATTTTAAAAGAATCCAAATAAGTTATTATGTATTATAGTATCGATTAAATTCATCATCCAGCTGCTGCTCTGCAAAATTCTCTCCCCAAGGAGAGAAAAATCACGCCATCTAGCGGAAAATCACGCGGCTTTTTCAAATCACGCGAGAATGTGTACAAAACAACAAAAATGTCGCCGGCAGCGCTTGTGGGTCGTTTTCATCGAATGTCTGTGATTTAAAAGTAATTTTGAGTGATAAATAAATTTTTTTTTTTTTGCGATGATTGCACTTGCCCGGCGGGAAAATGCAATAAAATTTTTACTCTCCCGACAATAAAAACTACTTGCCCTGGGCGATGGTTAACATTGAGCCCTGACTTTGACTGCGGCATGCATCAGACCATTCTGCTGCGTTACGCTTTGCTCTGCGATGTCCACTGAAAGTGATGGATGTCAGAGCGAAGCGGTTTGCATGCAGCTTCCTGTCTTAAAGCCTCATCTATTCTCAATTGATCGCGGTTTTTTAAAATACGCATCATGATCGGGTTATTTCATTAAGGGCCAGTAAGTCACAGCCGGTGAATAAAAATACTAAAGAAAACAGTTTCTACTAAAACTTCTGATGATTTATGGATAAATCTGTAAAAGATTCAGTTAGTTAATCTTACTTAATCAGACGATATTGTTCCGAAAGTTAGAAAATTTCTATTTCTCCTTGAGACCGGAGCAGAGACGCCTCCTGCTCTCCTCTATGTTGTCTGCTGTCTTCCCTCCTTGAGGGATTGCCTTCAGTCAATGCAATAAGCTGGTGTTCCTTAGATAGGAAACCTTTGAACCAATCTGACTGTATGATCTGGTTGATTAAAGGTAAAGTGCTTTGAGATATATTGTGAATCTGCGCTATAGAAATAAACGGAACTGATTTGAATTGACTGAAGGAAGCAAAGGAGCTCAGAAGGCCATTAAAGTTTGCTAATTTTGTTAAAGATAGGCTCTGTGTCTGCACCCTGATTCTCTATCTCTCCGGTTCTTTTTCCTGAAAAGAGATCACTTGGGACAAACTCTTAACTTTTATGTATTAAATAACCGGGAGACATGACAACAGATTTTGATAGAAATTGTAATCTTACTCAGATCAGAGAAATTGCTTAACAGGCAGCCCATACCAGGGTGTAATAAACTCACACATCTTCAATAATTATCCCAACAACCGCAAAAGGTTAGCATTAGCGGAACTTCCAAAGAAGAGAGCAGGAGCGTGAGGGCGTCACTTACTAACCAGCAGGAGGACGAACTGTTAGAAAATCTTCATGCAGAAACAGTTCCTTAGAATAACAGACAATGATGCAGCTTTCTGCAGCTGCTTCTTTCTCCCACCGACCCACTGAAGAAACTTCTGTCTCTCACCTCTGGTTCCGGTCGCCATGTCTGCAACTTTCTGGAAAGCATCCAGGAAGGCTCCAGTGACCGCGATGGTCGTCCTAAAAGAAACAGAAAAGCATGCAATAAATGACAGAAATGACTCTAAATGACAGAAAAATAGAGATGTAAACTGAAAACCCTTATTTTTACTGTTAATACAGATTTATTCATTCTTTGGCTCCAACTAAATCCATTAAATAATAACTCACTAAAGTACTTAGACAGCTTTTATAGTTATTTTGTATACACAGAATGTTCACAAAACTTAATTGTGTTTAGTACAGCTTTCCAAACAGTAAGCGAAAAGTATTTAAAGTACGCTTCTGAACGTCACCAAATCTTTACCTGGTTCTGTTCCAGGTCATACTATGACCCAGAGGAGGGTTGGTCGCTAACAGCCAGATGTATGCCTCCTGTTTTCGATCTGACTGAAGGGAATTAAAATTAGCTTGAAATAAAAATGTCCACAGCAGCAGGATAGGCGCCAGGTTAGCAAAGGTTATAGCCAAACTTTTTTTTGTCAGGATAAACATTTTCCAATGTTTGTGTTTGAATTAGGGCTGGGTAATTAATTGCATTTGCAATATAATCACAATTTAACCAAACACAGTTTTCAAATCGCAGAGGCTCTGATTATTAACGGCACACATTTACCGTATTTTCACGACCATAAGGCGCACCGTACTAAAAGGCGCAGTCCCAGTTATGTGTCCCATTTCTGTATTTAACACACACATAAGGCGCACCGGACTATAGGGTGCGTTTTTTATATACAGGTACATGTCCTCTACTACCTTTAAATAGCTCTACTGCGTATTTAAAAATACAGCGGGGGCAAAACTGAGTATGACTGTGCTTTATTCATGTATTCATTACAAAGTATTAATCAAACCTGGGAGCTGGCCGTGAGACAGACACATCGCAGATGACACAGCGCTGTGATCACTCCTAAATTAACTTAAAATCCTGAAACCTGCCGACGGAATATGTTCGCTTTTATTGCCGGTATCCTGGTGCCTGCAGTTTAAATTATTTAGATGAAAAACACCTGCCAGCCACCGCGGTGAGGCTGCTGTTGAAGGGATTTCTACTGTCGGTGCACCGCTGGTATGTGGGGGTCTGAGCGCCTCCGACAGAAATAGATAATCTGGATGAACTGACTGCAATTATTAAGTTTTCAGGTGGACTTTCCCACTTAAAAACATATTAAAACTATTTGAATTGAGAAAGCTTCCTGGAGAGGTGGCGAAACGTCTTCAAATCTTGAAAACCAAGTCCAGTGCATATTTTTTGAATTTTTACGGAATATTAAAACTACTTTATTCCCACTGATCACAGCAAATATAGCTGCAAGATTTAGATTATTTAGATGAAAAAACACCTGCCAGCCACCGCGGTGAAGAGGAGGAGACCCGCCCAGAGGCTGCTGTTGAATTAAGTTTTCAGGTAGAAAAATAGAGCGGGAGCAAAACTGAGTATGATTGTGCTTTATTAATGTATTTATTACAAAGTATTAATCAAACCCATCAAAGTCATCATCCTCTGTTTCTGAATTAAACAGCTGCGCTAAATCAGACATACCAATTTCCCCTTCTTCGCTGTCAGAGTCACTTTCCGTACAGCGCGGCTCCTCGGAAATGATGCCGGCTTTTGCGAAAGCTCGAACAACAGAGCCAGCAGACACGTTAGTCCAAGCATCTACAATCCATCCGCAAACGCGCTGCTTCAGCTGCTCAGACGCGCTGCACCTGCTGCTCAAAACGCGCCGTGGGACCTTTTGCTGCACCTATACGCGCGTCAACCATTGACTTTGCATGTAAACTCGCTGCTTCTGCTGCACCTGCTGGGTCCGGTTCACACCGATGTCAAGCGGTTGAATAACAGCGAGCACAGCGTTAATTTGTTTCACCATGTTTTTCACATCCGCTGTGAGATGGGCACGCATGGAGTCACAGATTAACAGCAATAGTGATGAGTGGAAAAAAAACACCTGGTCTCCATTCACCTCCCTCAGCCACTCTTTTATCATCTCCTCAATGAGGTGGTCTCAAAAGTCTCAGTTACAACACAGATAGGGAGCACCGCACATTTTGAGGGGAAAAAAATACGTTTATGTGCGCCTTATAGTCGTGAAAATACGGTAACAAGATGAAGGCACTAAATTCCTCCCTCCAGCCCTTTAGGTGGCGCTTAAATGGTTTAAGTGGGTTTGTCGCCATACATAACCGTATAGAGAGTTGCAGCTATTAGCAGATCTATGAATGCAAGTAGAAATAAAGACTTTTTCCACACAATAGTTACAGTAAAATCCAGTAACAATGGATTCTAAGAGAGCAGGCTTTCCAAAAACTGAAACTGAATCTACAAGCTTGGGGTGATGCAAAAGTAATGAAAATAAAATCGCAATTATGGTTAAAAAGTAATCGCAATTTCGATTTTTGGCTAAATCGTTCAGCCCTAGTGTGAATGAGTTTTGGGCTTCCAAGGAACCGAAGCGGACCAAGGCAGCGTCCGTTGAACGACTAATGACACCTTTTGCTTCGGGGATTTTCAAACCATTTGAAAACAAACGATGCAAAGAGCAGTGTTGCCAACTTAGCGCTTTAGTCGCTATATTTAGCCACTTTTCAGACCCCTCTAGCACTTTGATTTCAAAAAAAGCGTCTAGCACCAAATCTAGCGACTTTTTTCTACTACTGGAGACTTTGGAGACAACATCTAAAAGCAGCGAACTCTGCTCTCCAGAGCAAGTAGATTGGTAACCCCGCCTCCTGCTCTCCTCTATCTTGTCTGCTTTCATGATTCATGCAGCTATTATTTCATCCAAATGAAAAATGGAGAACAGATAAGCAGATCATGGCTTGTCTACAGTGAAAAGAAGGACTGGGTTATTTACTTTGGCCTTTTTGGAAACACAGGAAGGAGCAATCAGCTAAGTGAGCTTAGTGCTTGGAAAAAATCTTTCATTCCTTTAGAGACAGCAGGAAAAGTCAGCTGAGTACAAAACATAGAGAGGAAAACAAGAAGAAAAGGGACAAGAAGAGAGGGACACAACCTAGAACAGATAATGGATGTCTATTCTATTAACATTTCTCTATCTGTAGAATGGGTCTGTTTGATGTGTTGTCTTCTCAATTCAGAGGGCCCCCTGCCTGTCTTTGCCTAGGGCCCCAATTTTCCTAAATCCGGTCCTGCTTGGCATAGAATATAGGTCATTACTGGCACCTCTGAAATCAACCCTTAAAAATATTCAACACGTTGGGTGAATCGGAGCGAGGCAGGGTTCTGGCAGGGGGAAGGGTTCTGGTTCTGTTCTGAAAGTGGGATATTGTTTCACAGCGCTCTGCTCCAACCACGAGGCCGTCGCTGCACCTCAACATGCACCTTATCAACCACAACGCCTAAACCTTTAACGGGTTTACTGGAAAGAAGCTCACAGGCAGCTGCATGGAAATATCTTATGAAAATATTTGTTTAACAAACCAAACGGTCGTCTCTCAGGGAGGCTGAAGATAAAAAGTGAAATAAAGTTGATCTGAATTTGGTGGAAAATCTATGAGGAAAGAAAATCCAGTTGAGGTGTTTTTTAAGTAGCAATAGAATGATAGATTTTTTTTTTCTTATAAATGATGATGCTGTTTATCTAGATATTAGTTGTTTGGATGAATTTTTGAATTTCTGAAATTGGTTTTTCTTCTCCATTCTCCTGGGGGAAAAAACGCTGATAAAAATCTCAGTTAAAAAAACAAAATGATGGAGTCATCATCCAGAAATCTAACCTCTTCTTTTTAAAAAGGTTCAGTTGAAACCTGCTGATCGGTCACTAATTAACATGTGATAACAATAGTAAACAATTCAAGGCTAACGGCTAATGTTGCTAACGCTACGGTCACTACCCGATCCGCACCATTAGCTCATTTGCTCATGTGCAAAGAGATATGCATCCAGGTCGCCATAAACAGTGTAATCATGGTTCTAAAAGTATTTCTTTCTATCCTTAAATCACCAAAGAATGCTAAACCACATGTCGAAACATTTCATGACTTTTCTGAGACAATTTGATGCTTTTTACATTCTCTCTGTTAAACTGATGTCATCATGGGACATACTCAGAGCAGTTCCATGTTCCTTTCAGGTCAGCGTACCCATAGTCAAAACGCATGTGCAAGACGTCAGATTTGTGTTTATCCCTTTAGTTTTGGATGAAAAATATACTTTAAACCAGCTGCCCCCAACCCTGGGCCATTTGGTACCGGGCCCACAGAAAAAAAGTATATATATATATATATATATATATATATATATATATATATATATATATATATATTAGGGCTGCAACTAACGATTATTTTAAAAATCGATGAATCGGACGATTATTTTTTCGATTAATCGATGAATCGGACAAAAAATATTTTTTATATTAACCTCTTTATTCCAAAATATACATTTTACACAGAACAAACAAGCACACAAGTACAGGTTGCTCATTAACTGTACTGGTGCAATATGAAAAATAAATGTTTGTGTTAAAACTACGCAAACTTACATGAGAAATGTAGCTGTACATCCACAAAATATAGGGTACTTTGTTTCATAAAGCGCAAAAAAAGACATTTTTGTTTTTTAAAAGCCCCTAAGGGGCTCAAACAATAGGCCCCCCCATTTCAACAAATGAGTTTATTTAGACTAGAAGAGTTCTGCCTTTTAAGACAGGAAAGTACAGCAGTTAAAGTTGCTACTTGAGAAAATACTGAACCATAGAGATAAAAATAGCCCTGTGATTCAAATTATAAATTGTATTTGGAATAAAAATGAGAGAACTAGGGGTGCTAAAAAACACATCCTCCAAAGACAGATATTTACATGGGAATGTGGCAGATAATTAATTGACATATTACTGATCTTGCTGGATTTTATTCTGCTTTACTTCCATAAATTGCAGGATCTTCTTTACTTTATCTTTGCCAGAAGATTTCAACTTTAAAAGCCTTGCCCTCATAATTTGCAAGTTAATTTATTTATAAAGTAAATGTAAACGCTGCTTAAGCTAATTCAAATG